CAAAATAGAATATCATGGTTTGACATTTCATACGTTTTACCAAGGACTTGAGTTATACAATTGTTAAATTCAGACCAGAACATTTTGATGGTTGAACAATCAAGGTATACATGGTAAATATCCTCACTTACTGAACCACATAATGTACAAAGGTCATTATCTATCAATTTCATTTTTAGTAATTCTCGTTTAGTGTAAATGACTCTATGCAAAAACTTATATTGAAAATCTAAGAGTTTCGTGTCTTTAGTGCATTGTCTATATTGTGAAAATATGGTTTTCCAATTTAACAACTCATTTAGTTCCCCGTTCCATTTGAGACACACATTCGGAATGTTATAATCAGATATAAAATTATCATAGAATATCCTTGAACCTTTACTAGGTTTAATCAAATCGTTCCAAGGAGAGCACAGAGATAACGACGGTATATTAAAATTGTTATTTGTTCGTATAACTTCTTTCCACTGTTTGGGTATACTAAGGAGAACACGATTAAAGTCAAGTACAGTACCAAATTTTGCCTTAAGTTCTGCGAATGTTAGAAATGCGTGGTCCTTACAAATATCTTTAATATAAACTTTTCAACATTTAATCCAGTTCTGAATGATCAAACTTGGCTTGTTACACTGGTGATTTAACCATAGTGGCTGCATGAGTATTTCATTAATGTCGTTATTGTTACATACCGATCTTTTAACATATCTATGCCAGGCATCAAGAGAATCTTTCCAAAATGAATGTTTAATATTATAATGTTTTGTGATGTTGGCTCCTAAAAAAAAGAAGGTTTTGTAGAGGGAAACCGGCGAGAGCATAGTTCTTAGGTTTTGAAATATATCTCTTCAAACATGAAAGTTTTAAAGAGTCGATAAAGGTTTTCACGTCGACCATTCTTAGACCACCTTCTTCGTACCTTCGTACTAAATTAATTCGTTTTATTTTATCAATTTTATCATTCCATATAAATTTGAAGAATAATCTGTTCAAATCAGTAATAAATGTTTTTGGGGGATTAGGGAGAGAAGAGAAGATGTGGACAATCGTGGATAAAGCTAAACTTTTAACGACGGTTATTTTCCCTATCAACGTTAGGCAATCTTGAAGTTGATCAGAGGTTTGTGGCCTTCAAGGCGGGAGGTTTTTATATACTCCTCACAAAAAGTTAAGCAACACACATTTTTAGTCTCATTACATTTTCATTTATGGAATTTGCAAATCATGGAATGATGCAATAGAAAGGTGAAACATACGCACACACGATTAACAAAATGAAATGAAATGGTAGTGAACAATAATAGACTTACAAATCATCAAAAGCCTGTACCCGTGAAACAGTCGTGCAAAATGTGCTGCATTGATGGAGCAAACTGTTCACATTAAAGTTCAAGTGAGTTTTGGATAGTGAAGCAGTGTAACGCCTGTTCAAGTTCATCCAGAGTCTGGGGGTGAACATGGAGACGGTAAAAACGACTTCCAATAATGCCCCAAACATGTTCAGTGGGACCTTGCAGGCCAGTCCATATGTGTGATGTTGATCTAAACAACATCGTTAACAACTCATTCTCAGTCATTATCATCCATGGGCGGGCATTATCATCCATAAAAATGAAGTTAGGAAGCGCTTGTTGTATCAGAGGAATGATTACAGGTAGGTTTTAACCGATCTGACTGCATGTGTGAAATGTGGAGCACATTCATGGGACACATTTTGCATGTTGTTTCTGATGGAGGCTGTGTTCGGGTGATGTTATCAATGTTATCAGATAAATCAATCTGACAGCAACTAAAGGTTATGTATTCTTTGAATATTTACCTTTCAGCAAAATGCCGGCAACAATCGCTATCGAGATTGATAAAGATATTACACTGAAAATACTTGTTGCTTATTTTAACTGCAAGGGTAGATACCCGCGTTAAAGACCATAAAACGTCAACAGCCAACGCAGACAGTGAATAATCCTTCTTGGACCACCAGCCAAAATTACTCAGCCATTACATTCGGTATGACATGTTGAAATCCTCGCCACTTAACACAATGACTTCACGAAGAGCCATAGCAATACGCCGCCACTAACCTTTGACCAAAGGAGTAAATGGTACTTCATACCATCGGCTGCTGATGAGTTAATCAATCGATAGGCTTCATCAAACTTGTATTCTATCCGTTGTTGACTTGTTAATCCTTCCTATATCTCGGCTTTATTACTTATTGGTTGTCCTTACTTTCTATCAGGTCCATATGTCATTAACAGTATGTCCACGTTTCACTTACAGTATGTCCATGTGTCACTAACAGTATGTCCACGTTTCACTAACAGTATGTCCACGTGTCACTGACAGTGTGTCCATATGTCACTGACAGTATGTCCATATGTCACTGACAGTATGTCCACGTGTCACGAACAGTATGTCCATGTGTCACTAACAGTATGTCCATGTGTCACTAACAGTATGTCAACGTGTCACTGACATGTCAACGTGTCAATAACAGTATGTTCATGTGTCACTAACAGTATGTCCACATGTCACTAACAGTATGTCCATGTATCAAGAACAGTATGTCCACGTGTCACAAGCAGTATGTCCATGTGTCACTAACAGTATGTCCACATGTCACTAGCAGTATGTCTACGTGTCACTAGCAGTATGTCCACGTGTCACTGACAGTATGTCCACATGTCACTAACATTATGTCCACATGTCAATAACAGTATGTCCATGTGTCACTGACAGTATGTCAATGTATCAAGAACAGTATGCCCACGTGTCACTAACAGTTTGTCCATGTGTCACTAACAGTATGTCCACGTGTCACTAACAGGAGGTCCACATCTCACTGACAGTATGTCTTTGTGTCAGTAGCAGTATGTCCACGTGTCATTAACAGTATGTCCATGGGTCAATAACAGTATGTCTATGTGTCACTGACAGTATGTCCACTTGTCACTGACAGTATGTCCACGTGTCACTAACAGTATGTACATGTATCACTAACAGTATGTCCACATGTCACTAACGGTATGGTATGTCCATGTGTCACTAACAGTATATCCATGTGTCACTAACAGTATGTCCACGTGTCACTAACAGTATGTCCACGTGTCACTAACAGTATGTCCACATGTCACTAACAGAATGGCCACGTGTCACTAACAGTATGTCCATGTATCAAGAACAGTATGTACACGTGTCACTAACAGTATGTCCACATGTCACTAACAGTATGTCCACATGTCACTAACAGTATGTCCACATGTCATTAACAGTATGTCCATGTATCAAGAACAGTATGTCCATATGTCACTAGCAGTATATCCACGTGTCACTAACAGTATGTCTACATGTCACTAACAGTATGTTCACGTGTCACTTACAGTATGTACACGTGTCACTAACAGTATGCCCACATGTCACTAGCAGTATGTCCAGGTGTCATTAACAGTATGTCCACTTGTCACTAATAGTATGTCCACGTGTCACTAACAGCATGTCCATATGTCACTAACAGTATGTCCATGTGTCACTAACAGTATGTCCATGCGTCACTAGCAGTATATCCCCGAGTCACTAACAGTATGTCTACATGTCACTTACAGTATGTCCACGTGTCACTAACAGTATGTCCACGTGTCACTAACAGTATGTCCACGTGTCACTAACAGTATGTTCACGTGTCACTAACAGAATGTCCACATGTCACTAGCAGTATGTTCATGTGTCATTAACAGTATGTCCACTTGTCACTAATAGTATGTCCACGTGTCACTAACAGCATGTCCATATGTCACTAACAGTATGTCCACGTGTCAATAACAGTATGTCCATGTCTCACTAACAGTATGTCCATGCGTCACTAACAGTATGTCCACGTGTCAGTAACAGTATGACCACGTGTCACTAACAGTATGTCCATGTGTCACTAACAGTATGTCCACGTCTCACTAACAGTATGTCCATGTGTCACTAACACTATGTCCATGTGTCACTAACACTATGTCCACGCGTCACTAACAGTATGTTCACGTATCACTAACAGTATGCCCACATGTCACTAGCAGTATGTCCATGTGTCATTAACAGTATGTCCACTTGTCACTAATAGTATGTCCACGTGTCACTAACAGCATGTCCATATGTCACTCACAGTATGTCGATGTATCACTAACAGAATGTCCATATGTCACTAACAGTGATTTCTTGCTCAGTGTCGGTGGTGGTGGTGTGTGATGGTGGGATATCGTGTCGTGCTGGTGTCGGTGTACTGTGTGATGGCGGGACATCGTGTAGTGGTGGTGCATTGTGTAGTGTGTGATGGCAGGTGGTCATGTAGTGGTGGTGTCGATGGACTGTGTGATGGCAGGTCGTCATGTAGTGGTGGTGCATTGTGTACTGTGTGATGGCGGGATATCATGTAGTGGTGGTGTTGGTGTACTGTGTGATGGCGGGATATCATGTAGTGGTGGTGTTGGTGTACTGTGTGATGGCGGGATATCATGTAGTGGTGGTGCATTGTGTACTGTCGGATGGAAGGCGACGTGTAGTGGTGGTGCATTGTGTACTGTGTGATGGCGGGATATCATGTAGTGGTGGTGTTGGTGGACTCTGTGATGGTGGGATGATGTCCTGTAGTGGTGGTGTTGGTGGACTGTGTGATGGCAGGATGATGTCCTGTAGTAGTGGTGTCGATGGACTGTTTGATGGCGGGATGTCATGTAGTGGTGGTGTCGGAGGACCGTGTGATAGCGGGATGTCATGTCATGCCAGTAGTTGTCGTATCGGTGGTCTGTGTGATGCGGGATGTCCTGTAGTAGTGGTGTTGGTGGACTGTGTGATGGCAGGATGTCCTGTGGTGGTGGTGTCGATGGACTGTTTGATGGCGGGATGTCCTGTAGTGTTGGTGCATTGTGAACTGTGTGATGGCGGGATGTCATGTAGTTGTCGTATCGGTGGTCTGTGTGATGCGGGATGTCCTGTAGTAGTGGTGTTGGTGGACTGTGTTATGGCGGAATGTCCTGTATTAATGGTGTCGGTGGACTGTGTGATGGTGGGATGTCATGTAGTGTTGGAGTTGTTTTACTGTGTGATGGCGGGATGTCCTGTAGTGGTGGTGTCGGTGGACTGTGTGATGGTGGGATGTCTTGAAGTGGTGGTGTTGGTTTAATGTGTGATGGCGGGGTGTCCTGTAGTGGAGGTGTCGGTGGACTGTGTGATGGTGGGATGTCCTGTAGTGGTGATGTTGGTGGACTGTGTGATGGCGGAATGTTCTGTATTAATGGTGTCGGTGGACTGTGTGATGGCGGAATGTCCTGTAGTGGTGATGTTGGTGGACTGTGTGATGGCGGAATGTCATGTAGTGGTGGTGTCGGTGGACTGTGTGATGGTGGGATGTCCTGTAGTGGTGATGTTGGTGGACTGTGTGATGGCGGAATGTCATGTAGTGGTGGTGTCGGTGGACTGTGTGATGGCGGGATGTCCTGTAGCAGTGGTGTCGGTGGACTGTGTGATGGTGGGATGTCCTGTAGCAGTGGTGTCGGTGGACTGTGTGATGGTGGGATGTGTAGCAGTGGTGTCGGTGGACTGTGTGATGGCAATGGGATGTCATGTATCGGTGTGTCAGTGGACTGTGTGATGGTGGGATGTTCTGTATTAATGGTGTCGGTGTACTGTGTGACGGGATGTCCTGTAGTGGTGTCGGTGGACTGTGTGATGGTGGGATGTCCTGTAGCAGTGGTGTCGGTGGACTGTGTGATGGTGGGATGTCATGTAGTGTTGGTGTTTGTTTACTGTGTGATGGTGGGATGTCAAGTAGTGGTGATTTTGGTGGACTGTGTGATGGTGTGATCCTGTAGTGATGATGTTGGTGGGCTGTGTGATGGTGGGATTGCCTGTGGCAGTAGTGTTGGCGGACTGTGTGATGGCGGGATGTCATGTAGTGTTGGTGTTCGTGTACTTTGTGATGGCGGGATGTCCTGTAGTGGTGGTGTCGGTGGACTGTGTGATGGTGGGATATCCTGTAGTGGTGATGTCGGTGGACAGTGTGATGGCGGGATGTCATGTAGTGTTCATGTTGGTGGACTGTGTGATGGTGTCATGTCCTGTAGTGGTGATGGCGGTGTACTGTGTGATGGCAGGATATCTTGTAGTAGTGTTGTAGGTGGACTGTTTGATGGCAGGATGTCCTGTAGTAGTGGTGGTGTTGGTGGACTGTGTGATGGTTGGATGTCCTGTAGTAGTGGTGTCTGTGGACTGCATGATGGCTGGACGTAATGTAGGAATGGTGTCGGTGGACTGTATGATGGCTGGATGTCCTGTAGTGGTCGTATCGGTGGACTGTGTGATGGCTGGATGTCATGTAGTGGTCGTATCGGTGGTCTGCGTGATGGCAGGACGTCATGTAGTGGTCGTATCGATGGTCTGTGTGATGGCTGGATGTCATGTAGTGGTCGTATCGATGGTCTGTGTGATGGCAGGATGTCATGTAGTGGTCGTATCGGTGATCTGTATGATGGCGGGATGTCATGTAGCAGTGGTGTCGGTGGACTGTGTGATGGTGGGATGTCCTGTAGCAGTGGTGTCGGTGGACTGTGTGATGACGGGGCATCGTGTAGTGGTGGTGTCTGTGGACTGTGATGCCGGGGCATCGTGTAGTAGTGGTGCATTGTGTACTGTGTGATGCCGGGATGTCGTGTAGTGGTGGTGCATTGTGTACTGTGTGATGGCGGGATGTCATGTAGTGGTGGTGTCGGTGGACTGTGTGATGACGGGGCATCGTGTAGTGGTGGTGTCTGTGGACTGTGATACCGGGATGTCATGTAGTAGTGGTGCATTGTGTACTGTGTGATGGCGGGATGTCATGTAATATTGGTGTCGGTGTACTGTGTGATGGTGGGATGTCGTCTTGTGTGTACTGTGTGATGGCAGGATGTCATGTAGTGGTGATTGTCGGTGGACTGTGTGATGGCGGGATGTCGTGTAGTGGTAGTGGTGTGTACAGTGTGATGGCGGGATGTCATGTAATAGTGGTGTCGGTGTACTGTGTGATGGCGGGGCATCGTGTAGTGGTGGTGTCGGTGGACTGTGTGATGGCGGGATGTCGTGTAGTGGGCGTGCATTACGTACTGTGTGATGGCGGGATGTCGAGTAGTGTTGGTGTCGGTGGCTGTGTGATGGCGGGATGTCGTGTAGTGGTGGTGTCGGTGGACTGTGTGATGGTGGGATGTCGTGAAATGGTGGTGCATTGTGTACTGTGTGATGGAGTGAGATGTGTGGTGGTGGTGTCGGTGGACTGTGTGATGGAAGGCGTCGTGTAGTGGTTGTACATTGTTACTGTGTTCGTTTCGCTGGACTGTATGATGGAGGGCGACGTGTAGTGGTGTTACATTGTGTACTGTTTGATGGCGGGATGTCCTGTAGTGTTGGTGTCGGCAGACTGTGTGATGGTGGGATGTCCTGTAGTGTTGGTGTCAGTGGACTGTGTGATGGCGGGATGTCCTGTAGTGTTGGTGTCGTTGCACTGTGTGATGACGGGATGTCCTGTAGTGTTGGTGTTGGTGGACTGTGTGATGGTGGGATGTCCTGTAGTAGTTGGTGTGTTGGTGTGATGGTGGACTGTGTGATGATGGTGGTATGTCCTGTAGTGTTGGTGTTGGTGGACTGTGTGATGGTGGGATGTCCTGTAGTGTTGGTGTCGTTGGACTGTGTGATGGTGGGATGTCCTGTAGTGTTGGTGTTGGTGGACTGTGTGATGGTGGGATGTCCTGTAGTGTTGGTGTTGGTGGACTGTGTGATGGTGGATGTCCTGTAGTGTTGGTGTCGTTGGACTGTGTGATGGTGGGATGTCATGTAGTGTTGGTGTTGGTGGACTGTGTGATGGTGGGATGTCCTGTAGTGTTGGTGTTGGTGGACTGTGTGATGGTGGGATGTCCTGTAGTGTTGGTGTCGTTGGACTGTGTGATGGCGGGATGTCCTGTAGTGTTGGTGTTGGTGGACTGTGTGATGGTGGGATGTCCTGTAGTGTTGGTGTCGTTGGACTGTGTGATGGTGGATGTCCTGTAGTGTTGGTGTTGGTGGACTGTGTGATGGTGGGATGCCCTGTAGTGTTGGTGTTGGTGGACTGTTTGATGGTGGGATGTCCTGTAGTGTTGGTGTCGTTGGACTGTGTGATGGCGGGATGTCGTGTTGTGGTGGTGTCGGTGTACTGTGTGATGGAGGGTGTCATGTAGTGGTGGTTTTGGTGGACTGTGCAGAGGATAGTTGTGGTTAATAGCATTGGGTCTCCCGAACTGATGGTCTTAGTGTCTCATGGGGTGTTGGTGGTGACAACGGCGCTGGTGGTGCTGACACTGTCTCATGTTGTGGTGGTGTCCCATGTGGTGTCGTTGGTGGTGTCTGAGGTAGTGGTGGTGGTGTCTGAGGTAGTGGTGGTAGTGGTGGTGAGACTGTCTCATGTTGTGGTGGTGTCCCATGTGGTGTCGTTGGTGGTGTCTCGGGTAGTGGTGGTACTGGCGGTGAGACTGTCTTATGTTGTGGTGGTGTCCCATGTATTGTCGTTGGTGGTGTCTGAGGTAGTGGTGGTGGTGTCTGAGGTAGTGGTGGTAGTGGTGGTGAGACTGTCTCATGTTGTGGTGGTGTCCCATGTGGTGTCGTTGGTGGTGTCTCGGGTAGTGGTGGTACTGGCGGTGAGACTGTCTCATGTTGTGGTGGTGTCCCATGTAGTGTCGTTGGTGGTGTCTGAGGTAGTGGTGGTGGTGTCTGAGGTAGTGGTGGTAGTGGTGGTGAGACTGTCTTATGTTGTGGTGGTGTCCCATGTAGTGTCGTTGGTGGTGTCTGAGGTAGTGGTGGTGGTGTCTGAGGTAGTGGTGGTAGTGGTGGTGAGACTGTCTTATGTTGTGGTGGTGTCCCATGTTGTGTCGTTGGTGGTGTCTGAGGTAGTGGTGGTAGTGGTGGTGAGACTGTCTCATGTTGTGGTGGTGTCCCATGTAGTGTCGTTGGTGGTGTCTGAGGTAGTGGTGGTAGTGGTGGTGAGACTGTCTTATGTTGTGGTGGTGTCCCATGTAGTGTCGTTGGTGGTGTCTGAGGTAGTGGTGGTAGTGGTGGTGAGACTGTCTCATGTTGTGGTGGTGTCCCATGTAGTGTCGTTGGTGGTGTCTCGGGTAGTGGTGGTGGAGTCCCATGTAGTGATGTGAATGGGTGACGTGGTTGGGCCCCACGAGGTGTCGGTGGGAGTAGTGGTAGCTCACATTCTGCTTTATGTACCGTTTGTCTTTCTTAACATTTTTAAACCAAATTAGGATTTATTGCTGTACTTTACAGCTCTTAGCATGCAGTGACATAATTTACGTGAGACTGCTGAATTGTTTCCTTAAATGGGAAAGATTTCCTCCTGTAACCCCCGATTTTTATCATTCTATGCTTGAGAATAGATTTTTTATAGAAAGTCCACCCTAACCCTAAACCTAAACCTAACATAATGCTAAATCTTAACCCTAAACCTAAACCGTAACCCCTACAAATAAATCATAATAGAAATAGAATACATTTCAAGCGGGGGTTACGGGTGGAACTCTTACCTATCTATCTGTTCACTTCGCCTCGAGCGATGAAGGGCATATAAGTCATTATAATTTCTCACCCACTGATGAATGTTGAATTAAATTTGTCTGACTGGTAATTGAAATTTTGAAAGAATTTCACATTTATCTTATCAGCTGTTTGATATGTGCAACCAAGTATGTTTGCTTCACAAACTTCATGAACAAATCATTAATCAATCTAAAGGAATCAGATCTTCCTCGGCTCATGTTAAACTTGAAAGTTGCATAGTGTAAAGGCATGTCACAGGGGTGCTTGTGTTTTGTTTCTTTGTTTGAGGTTCAGGGACTGGGATTATGTTATGTAAGTTGTCTGGTTTGCTATTTATCTTTTACAGCAGCACCTTTTGTTGTAAGTGAGCGACTGAACCGCGCTTGGGATCCATGCACGAAGTCCTATACAAACAATATACCTCCTTCCTCAACCAGGTTTTTACATAAGGGAGCAACCATTTTCGAAACGGGTGACGGGGATGTTAAGTTTGAGTTGAGCATTTAAAATAGATATTTATGTACATAATTATCATTTTGATAATATATATTACACATTTGTTATGCATCTAACTATCGAAATATTGATTGATTTAAATATAATCATGAACATCAGATGAAAATTTAAAAAACGCTGTTATGAATTCAAATTTCACTTCATGTATTAATGCAAATACAATGTATATTTAAGACAAAAAACAGACACGCAGCTTTTCCGACAATGTGTAGCATAAAAGTACTGAAGATGAAGTGAAATATGGACATGATCATATTTCGAACCACCCTACCCCCCCTGGAAAGAAAATGACTACCCCCTAAGAAACACACTGATTTCGTTCAGATCACTGCTTCCCGGAAGACGGATGGAACGAAGTATTGTCTAATGATGGCTCCAAAGTCTCTCGTTAATCATACCATTTACACATTAGAATCTGTGAAGTAAGTGTCAGTTAGGTCAAATATTCTTTACATTAAGAAAACATCGAAAATAGGCTTGTTCATGATTATGTTTTGTGTATAATGCGCTCTATTATTCCGTGTGTATTCAGCCATGTAAAGATGGGTCAGTTTAGGCAATGGCAGGGTGTTCATGGTATATTTCGAACAAGGCTTCTCATACTTTTTGCTGGCATTTTACAAAGTGAACATTATTTCCCTGGAATGTTTCTGTGTATTAGTTGTACCATCGCACCATTTCAAAAATATTTACTGCTATCACGATCAAATTATATCTATCTGGCCTAAAACGACCATCAGTTGTCTTAGCATGTACAGATAACCATAAAAGCATATTTATCAAAAGTCGTAATTGATGTGCGATACGTGAAGTGTAATATTCTTCCCCTTCAATAACAATGAATACGCTAAATTCACGTCAGTTATTATGTTTGCTTTGCTAAATGAGAGGAGGATCTGGAAGAAAATGTCCGCAGAAATAATGCCCATTTCCGACATATTTCCGACCTTTGGTTCTCATATATTTTATTAGCATTATTCAAAATGAACATTATTTCAGTGGAATTCTTCTGTGGATCAGTTGTTCCCTCGCACAAATTCAAAAGAATTTACTGCTACCACGATCAAATTACCGCTATCTGTTCAAGAACGAACATCAGTTGTTATGGAATACATACACAATGATAATAACCTACTTCATTCGTTAAAAGTCGTAATTCTTGTGTCATACGTGAAGTGTAATATTCGTAGCATGTCAATAATAGTCAATACGCTAAATTCACTTCAAACATCTTAATGCCTTCATTTTTACAATCACGTATAATGTAAACGCAAAAAAACAAGTGTTTTTCACTGACCACTCTATGTTTTTGTAATATAGTTTTAGTTACAACTTTCAATGAGTTGAAATGTTCTATACCTTTACTTTTAGGACCGAGGGACTGCAAGAAGACCTGCCAAGAGGCAGGACCATGCAGGACTGACCAAGTAGAAATATTGGCGACAGAGGACCATGCAGGCAAGTTTTTGCTGAATGAAAGGAGGACATGGAAGAAACTGTGTGCAGAAATATTGCCTATTTCCAACATACTTTACTATCTATTTGAGACATTTTAATACCTTCATTTTTACAAACACATATGATGTAAACGAAACAAAAACGTTCTTTTCACTCTCCACTCTGTTTTTGTAATATAATTTTAGTTACAACTTTCAATGAGGTGAAATATTGTATACCTTTACATTTAGGACCCAGGGACTGCAAAGAGGCCTCAAGAGGCAGGACGACTGCCAAGTAGGCGACAGAGGACAAATTAAACTGTCTTAAATAGATAGTAAAGTATGTCGGAAATAGGCAATATTTTGCACACATTGTCTTCCATATCCTCCTTTCATTCAGCAAAAACTTGCCTGCCTCGTCTTTTGTCGCCTACTTGGCAGTAGTTTTTTCGAGGAAGCAATTTAGAACACAGACTATTCGGAAGACTTCGATTTTGACATAATTTCGTTGTAAACGGAGACTAATCAGTCACTAGAGATCAATTAAATTCTTTAACTCAGTTTGTTAGTTGTCATATTTTAAACATCTATAATGTTTTCACGATCCACTATGCGTTTTTTGTTATATATTTTTAGTTGCAAGTACCAATGGGGTGAAATATTGTATATCTTTACTTTTAGGACCCAGGGACTGCAAGAAGACCTCAAGAGGCAGGACGACTGCCAAGAAGGCGACAGTGCACCAGGCAGGCAAGTTTTCCAAATAATGGAAACAGCAAAAACA